TTTCATGTATATAATTCCAATTTTTTTCTTACACCTTTAATTTAAATGGAAGATTGTTGGTGCCCTCCATCACAACATAGTAGTCCCCCTCTCTAATTTGGTGGGACCTAAGACTCTTTGTTGCTACTGTCAAGTACTGTCCCACCACGTTAACTAGATGAAACTGCTGAGGGTACTGGGGTGCTGGGCAGTACTGCAAGCAGCTTCCTAGATTCATTTACAGCTGTTGTTCTGTTGTCCAGGATACTGTGTTACTCAAAGAGGAGTTTTGAACTGCCTCTAGCCAACACTTTTTAGACCTGTGAAGGTCATTCGCATGGTCTGTTTGTTCCTGGGCCTGTGTGATAGTTTCACTCTTACCTTTAACTGATTGCTCAGAAAACCAACTAACAGCTTGTGTTAATGGTTGCTTAAAACATATCTATTTTTAAAAGAACCTCAGGTATTTTAACTGAGATCCTCTAGATTGAAAGGGAAATATCTTGTTTTGGTGTCAGGTGGGGTTTAATTTATTTCAGGGGGTTAGCAGCTCTGCAGCATCAAAGCACAGCACTTGACAGAGGTAGAATTCTTAAACATTGGGGTTAAGTCCTCTATCAAAGAAGAGTTTCTCCCATTCAAGATGCAGGCCAGGAAATGGTATAGAGAAGAAACCTACAATGTTGTTGCTTTTAGCAAGTCTACAAAAAGACCTGTGGTTTATTGCAGCTCTCTAAATATTAGAAATGTGATAGCTCTCCATTAGAAATGGGAGTGTGAGGTGGTGTGTGTGTGTGTGACAGGATGTGACGTACAGATCATGAAACCAGAAAAAGATGCTGCAGTTAGACACCAGCAGCACCGGGTGCATTTGACTGTAGCCTTTATGAGTGGATCATTTAACTTGATAGCACATATATCCTAAAGAAAGGATGCATTGTTGCATTTATTTATTTTGCTCTTATAGGAGGGAGGAAGAACTCTAAATACAGTATCTTGCTATGATGTACTTTGCTAGGGAAGACTCATTGTAGCTCCATGGCTTGCTCGCTCAGGATTGACTGGGAACTGGAATTAGATTGTTGTAACCATGTCTATCACCGTACTATATAAGGGAATGAGCTTGAGAACAGGGTCAGAGAACATGATGTTTCCATGTTTCTAATAGAAGTCACTGGGAAATAGAAGGCTGGCTGAAAGTACTTTCTGTTCAGCTACTCAGTTTAAATCATGACTCTATGAAGCACAGTTACAAAAGTATTCATGAAATTAAACTGATTTCATGTTTCACTTTAATCTCATTAAAACCACCAATTCATTACAGTGATTGAATAATTGGTCAAAATTTTGTTACTTAAAGGAATAAATAAGAAATGCAAAGCACTTACTCTTTGTGATAACAACTTCTAATCAAAATATCATTTGTAAGATCTTGAAGAAAGTCAAGATATTCTTCCTCGCTACACAAATACACAATCTGTCAGCATCTTTCTTTAACATACACTGACTACAAATAAGGTTTACAATACCATCCAAAAAGGTATCAGTTTTAAAGTAATTAACTCAAACAAAGAATTTTGCCAACATGTTCAAAAATGATTAATCTATTTACTAGTCTCCATTTTTTTTTACTATCCAAGTTTATATTTTTTTTAAATGATTGATTTTCACAGCTCTGTTGGTCAACTCCCTAATTACCTTAATCCATTAATTTAACTCATTAATTTAATTAATCAAGAATATCTATGCCTTTTGTGAATAATAAGTTAATAACAATAATTCCAATTAACAAAGTGTATGTATCATAAGAGAAATTATCATTGTTTATTTATTTATTACTTACTTATTTTAACATATTTAGTTTGCCTATAGTAAAAGTGGACTGCATAGCATGACTCAGAAAATCTCTCCCAACTTTCTGATCCCACACTTACCAAGCAAGTTAGCTGAATCTTGTTACCCCTATTAGAGTCCCTTCTACTCACCACATACATCCATTGGTAATTGGCTCTTGTGCCATTTTTTCAATTTTCCACTAGATTCCTACTTTAATATTTTAATATAAAGCTTAAAATAGTTAAAAGGGACAAATAAATATTTAACTTACTTTTCTTCAAGTTGTGATCCTGGAAAAAGTGGCATTTCAGAACTGGAAATCCATAAATCATGGTTCTGCCACAAACAAGCAAAGAGAAAAAGTGGATTTTTTTTCTTATCTTTGTAATATTTCCATTCAGAGAACCAGGGGGGAATGATCTGATTCTGTAACATATCAAATCACAACATCATGCTGAAGTGACAGGCCAGCTTGTGTGAAAAGTCTTGAGTATCAAACACTCATATAAATAAAGAAAAAATATTATTATTAGGTAGGTTTCTGTTAGCAGAAATGGAAACAAGCAGGTATAACCTGAGTAAAAATAATGCAAACACTATAAAGGAAATAAAAACTTTTGCAAGATAGAAAGTATTTACAGGCGTCATTCAAATAAGAAAACTTTATGTTTAAAAGGACGTGCGAAATACATTTCTATCCTTGAAAGAAGACTTAGAAAACCAGATTGATATTGAAATTATCTTGCTGTGGATTATGAAATGGGAATAGGAGCTTCTGTTGATAATGTTGTAAAATCAAGGTTTTAGTGGTTGGAACAAGGAACGAGGTAGTCACAGCTGGCACAGGGCTAGCACAAACCATGCCTGTGGTGCCTTGGCTGAGCTATATAGAAATTCAACACTGGTTATTTAAAGGGACAAGCAGGCCAAGGAATCATACAAAACCTCTCTATCATGCATGGCTTTGACTACTGTTAAGCATCCCTTGTTTTTAAGAGCACTAAAATTCACTAAATTAATCCCTCATTCATCTTAAAAATCCAGGTGACTAATGGAGTGCAACTTCCAAAGTCTTGTATGGCATACTACAGTACTGACCATGGGCTGGGTGATTAGCACTTTGCCTGGATGTTTCTGGGGTCCAGGTTATTATTTGGATGGAGTGGAAGGCTGTAAATCAACTGAAAGCTGAAATGATGGCTTGAAATGTTAGTGTGCAGCAAGATGTCAGTCAAGGGGGAAAAAGCTCTGCTTTCAGAAGAACAGGCTTGTGTTAGAATACACTGGTTTTCACATTATATAATACCTCATTTCCATTTCTCAGAGAGACCAGTTACTTTAGCTGTTCCTGTTTTATTCACAGAAGTCTGTTGACCCTATCTAGCCACATATGCTAGATTTCCAATTGCAATCTTAATAACTTCTCACAAGATGATTTATTTTTTTGGTTTTGCTCTTAATATATATTCCACAAAACCAATGATTCCATTATCCATCTCATTTCCACACATACAGGACAACTTTTGTGTATGAACAGTGAACTCCATTCTTTTTCTTTGTAACAAAATGCATATACCAACCTTAACTTGTTGCTGAGAAAAGTGATCTGAATGTGGTCTCACATGTGCATCTTCCAAAAATCTGAAAGATTAAAAGCATAGTGAAAACCAGTTATGCTTAAATTTATGTGTTTGAAAGTGAAATTACTTAACTTTTAGCACTGATTTATAAAAAAACCTTAGTACCTGTGTAACATTCTTTTCTTTTCATCATTGGTGTCTGCTGATTTAAGTAATGGTCTGCCAGGGGAGGAGATCTTTTTTTGGGAAGGAGGATTGTAATACCTATATTTTACAAGAAAAGATTGGTGTGATGTCTTTAAGATTTGAGGGGTAAAATATTGCTTCTTTTCTGTAAAGTAAATTGAATGTTTATTAAGGAGGTCCCCAGAATATGTTTTATTAAAAGAGTTTTGAAATGCCTTTTTCCTGTTGTGACTGCCTAGATGCATGCGAGACTGCTGGAGTGGTGAAGCAGATGATCTGACTGTACCAGAGTTGTGAACAAGAGTGTGAGACTGCTGAGTATGCTGAACACTATTTTGGATATTCTTTCTTGCAGTAGAAGCTGGCAACAGAGTCCTTGAAGTGAGTTTCTGAGATGATACAGAGGAGGGCTGCTCTCTCTTTGTCTTGGAGCAGTTGTTCTGACCAGATATCAAATATAGGTGATCATTTTCTGACAGCGACCACCTTGTCTGTAAGTTAAAGAACAAAGAAACTAGCAAATCACTTCTGACAAATCAGAAAAGTCACAAAAGCAATTCACTGAAAGACAGTGTCTCTTACAAATTGATTCACTCAGGAGGAATTTTAAGAACCTGTCTTCAAACTGTCTCAAGTGGTCTAAATGACTCGCTGAGTTTCGGGAACTGCAGTTAGGAGTAAAGCCACCCTGCCATTGTGCTAGAGCTAGTTAACAAGTCCCTTTTCTAGTTTGTTTTTCCTTCTCTTTACAAGGTTGAGGTTGCTAACGTCAAGCAGTTTTGGGAAATGACAGAAATTCAATTTTGCTTGCCAGAGCTCACAGAGGAAGAACGGGAAAATCTTCCTTCCTTGAACATTGTGCATTCTCCTCTGTGGAACTGATCTCTCAATAGCAAGGTACAGGCATGACTCCATCTCATGAGTTTGAATTAAAAGAGAACCACTATTATCCTCATAAATACCACAGGTGAAATTGTGGCCTTTCATTTTGCTATTTGTCTCAGTGGGAGTAAGATTTACAAATCAAAATAATGCAGATGTTTGAATTGGATCACATTCTTTATAAACAGCATAATGGGTAATCTAGTGGTAAACCCACTACAATTCTCAACAAATAGAAAGTTTTACAATCTAAATATAGTCTGAGGAATTTTTGCCCCAGAGAGACTCTGGACCATAGCAGAATGAAATGTTTTGCAAGACTTTGCCTATTGAGGTGAGATCCATTGGCAGAATTTGGTGAAGAACAGGCCTACTCATACTAGCATGAGGTTCTACAGTTTATGGTATCTGGCAGAATATGTAGAATTAGGATTAATTACTTTATGGTCCTGCCTTTACCGGTAAATACCATTCTGAAATTCAGAGGATACTGTAAAACAATGTAAAGTTATTGCATTGCACTCAGTGGCAATAGTAAGAAAATAATTGGGATTTAGTTCTCTTGAAAATACTGTGTACAGGAATCATCCTAATAAGAACGTTGCCACACACATTAGCAAATTATTTCAATAAATGAACTAAATTTTTTTTGCTGGGCACCCATGTATTACTTTGTTAAAAATTCTAATTCCATTTGCCAAAGGAGCAAAGAGAATACGTGTGGGTTTGTGAATGGCATGCTGTCAGTGCAGGGACACGTTTTAGTTACATACATGTAGTCATGACATGGGTACCTGTCACTGTAGGCCATGTAGGCATAGCAACAGCTAGATGAGAGGATAGCTGCCAGTTGACAAAACTGAGAGTCAAATATTATCTCTGTTTGGCTAGACTGTGAAGAGCCAAACTGAATAAACCTGCACTTACTGCTGCATTACAGGCACTACCCAGCTCTCCAGAGTACAGCTAACTAAGGGGAAACTGATCTTTTCTGTGACTAAATACTACCTGTGTGACAGGTCCTTCTGCTGGCTTGGAGAAACACTTCTGGCGTTGAACGGTGAGGCAGGCAGACCATGTACAAGATCCTTCTTATATTTTTCAAAGGCTTGAATCAGTCTGTCTCTTTTCTGCTGATCCTTGTCTGTACATGTAAATATATAAACAACCCTTTCCAGTTTAATCAATGGTCAGATCATAGGGTATTACTCTTCATTCTTTTTGCCACTAAAGACTGTTCTGTCTCCTCCTCTTAATACCAAGTAGCAGACAGAGAAGACAATCACTCTGTTTTTTACAGTTGGCGCTTACTGCTTCCATGCTCGGTGCGCACCTGAATTTGAAATAAATGCAACTCAGGATTCCGTTACATCACTCACACAGTAACTAATGAGCTACTGGAAGGATAAGACAGTATAGCAACATTTTGCTCCCACTTCCTGCCCACTCACTCTGTCCTAGACAGCAGCGGAGACAGGTCAAAACAGAAAAAAAGCTGAGGCAATCAAATAAGGATTCAAGTCTATGTACTAAGAGTTGAGTGACCAAAGTCAGGCTGCCACTGTGGTCTGACCAGGCTGAAAAGCCAAGAAAGCGCACTTTATCAGTCAATCTCAGGCTGAAAAGAGTAGGGTGACACTTCTGCTAGCACCCCATACACAAAAAGGACAGAAACAGACCTAATCCTTTGGATCTTCCAATCTCGCTGAAAATATGCAAGTTAGAGTAGGAATAAGAATACTTATTCTCATACTAAGCATTATTATTATATATCACAGTATGTATATATATAAATATATTAAGTGTCATAAAATAATAGGAAGAATACACAGGAATAAGATGAGGATATGAGTTGCCCAAGACCACAGAGGCAGACTCATGGATAATGCAAAGCCTCACAATTCACCATCTTTTGTTAGAACCTTATTTTTAGTGATGCAAACAAGAACGATACATGACCAAAATTTTCAACACTTTTTACATGCCATGTTCCTTCCAAGCATAGCTCAGAAAATAAGGGATATAAATTGTAATGTGCAAAAAACCCCTTTCTCTTTGTAGGTGGTGTTTAAAAAGTAATAGCCCCAGCAGCTCTAGCTGTAACTAAGGATTCACACACAAAATATCGGTAAAGTCATGTCCACTGAGGTCCTGTAAGCTACAATGGCTCTTTTGGGCTGAAAATGAAGCTCTGTCAGAATTTCCTTGCCCTGTGGAGCTTTGGCACATGATGGCACATACCAGTACTGCCAGGCAGGCCAGCAGAGAGATGTGCTCTGCTCCTTCCCCTCCAGGTGCAGCTGCAGAGACTCCTCAAACAGGCAGTTCTAGAGGGCTAGCAAGGCTTCAGGTGAGCTGCAAAATGTGACTTTTGGCTGGATGATGTTACTGTGGATAATACTGACTTATTCCTGACAAAATGCATGACTGGTACCTGATTAGCCTACGGCCCCCTTACACTGCAATGCTGTCAATGTGGTGGAATTTACGCTCCCAATATGCTGCAATTTTTTGCTAATAAGAAGCAACTCCTCCTCTGAAGTGATGTAATTGCAGTATGTCTTACTAGTAATGTGACAGAATAATGCTTGAAACCTGGCAAAGCAACACTTATTGCAGATTTTCTTTTGAGAGGGAGGTGCCTCCCAGAATTGTGCATCAGAAATTCAGAAATGTGCAATACCAGAATTCAATATTGCACATTTCTGAATTAGCAGAAGAGTTACAGTGTTTTAGTTAGTCTTTAAGTAATATTTCTTTCGGAAAAGGATTAGCTGAGAATTAAAAAAAACAACAAACCACTTAGATACTGCACTAAGTGGTTGGCTCCTCTGAAGTGTTTGATGGCTCTTGTATGGGGCACAGCATCTCTTAATGATTCCCCTGTAAGGTGGCCTGGTCAGTGGAAAAAAAAAAGGTTTCACTAACAGCTAAAACCGATATATAGTCTCCCGAGGCATGTAATCTGGCTTTCCAGTCTTGCATGGACATGAGTTCACAGTATCATCCTATTAAGAAAAAACATGTTGACAATGCTAAATCCTATTTAGATGACTGGGAAGCAGGATTATACAACTCACTGGAACAAATAACAAAATGTACTTGCTCAGTTGCATTCATGCAGAGATTAATACCTTCCCCTTTTATCTAGGTTTGTACAGCACCCAATCAAAATACCCCCAATTCTGATTAAAGACTTTGTATTCTGCAGCCATGTGAAAAACAAGGACAAGACAGCTTGTTGTAGTGTCTGTGCAACGGTACTGCCAGTCAGGATACCTGGCTTCCCTCATGGCAGTGCCAGTGACCTGCGAGGCCTTGGGAAAAAGTGACATCCGTGCCTCTCCACTCTTCTGCATGTGCCCTCTGTGCAGGTGAGGCAGGACAACAACTGTCTACCCGAGGCATGGCTGAGCCTTCACAAAGCCTTGCCAAGGCCAAGAAAATAAAATGTTCCAGGTCAAAGAGCCACAGGTTTCAAACAGGCTTTTTCTAGTATTTCACTGATTGTTTCTTACTATAAATAAAAGTTATAAATGTGCCACATGGCATTCAACCTATTCAAATAAGTACTATTCCACTGCACTATAGTTTTATGTTTTGAGTAGTTAGCAAAAGCTCCCAGGCCAGAATGTCTCATAGCAACCCTCCTTCCCCTTCCATATTAGACACCAGGTTTCATTGCTCAGACTGTTGGGTTTTGTATGTGCCTCAGCCATGTGAGGCAAACTGAGGGATCCTGTAGTACATCCTGGTTTGCTGACACATCTGCTAAGGGATTTACTTGCATCACCACCTTCTAGTCCTGCTCTCTCAAGTTCCTCTTTTCTCACTACTATTTTTTCTCATTCACATTT